AAAATATTAATTTTGCCAATCCATGAGCATAAGAGGTCCTTCTTCTACTGTCTTCAAATTCTTTCTTTGGTTGTTTTAATGATTTTTATTGTAGTTTAGGTTTATTCCTAGGTATTTATTTGTTAAACTATTATGAAACAAGATTGACTATCCTCTGCCCAAGCCAACTAAAAAGGAGTACAAGACTCAAATTAATTTAACTGGAAGTAGAAAAAGGGCTGTTACAAAAGACTCACATGAAATCCATAGGCCCATTCAGGAAAAGTTTGAAGACTCATATTCTAGAAAAACTAGAAAATGAAGAAAAATTGCATAAATTCCTAGGTACATATGACTTACCAAATTAAATCAAAAGGAGATAAACAACTTAAACAGACCCATAACAAGTAACAAAATTGAAGAAATGAAAATGTTTCCCAACAAAGAAAAGCACAGGATCAGTTGAATTTATTGCCGAATTCTACCAAACCTTCAGAGAAGAGCTATCAATGCTTCTCAAACTGTTCCATAAATAGAAAGAAAAGGGACACCACTCATTTTAAGTCAATATTACCCTGAGGCTAAAAGGGAATGAAGAAACAACAGGAAAAGAAAACTATAAACTAATTTTTCCTCATCAAAATAGGTGCAAAAATTCTCAATTCTTGCAAACTGAACTTTAAAACAGATGAAGAAAATCCTCTATCATGACCACATTGGCTTCATTCTACATATGCAAGGATGGTTTAGCATATGCAAATCAATAAACATAGTACAGAACATAAGTAGGCTCAGAGACAGAAGTCACACGATCATCTCAAAAGATACAGAAAAGGTCTCTGTCAAAGTTCAGCATCCTTTCATGATAAAAGTTCTGAAGACTCCAGGAACATATTTCAGTACAGTAAAGGCTATACATGGTAAACTCTAGCCAACATCACATTAAATGGGGAAAAGCTGAAAGCATTTCCTCTAAAATCAGGAACACGGTGAGAGTGCTCATTCTCTCCTCAATACAGGGCTTGAAGTTTTAGCTAGAACAATAAATCAAGAAAAACGAAAGGACTACAAACAGAAAAGGAAGAAGTGAAATTATCACCATCTATGATTGGCACGACCCTGTATTTAAAATATTTTACCTGTTATTTTTATTTTTATGTGTGTGTGTTACCTGCGTGTATATAAGTGCACGCATGTTATGCAATGCCCACAGAGGTCAGAAGAGGGTGTCGAATTCCCTAAAACTGGGGTTATGGATGATTGTTAGCAGACATGTGGGTGCTGAGATTTGAACCTGGGACCTCTGGAAGAGCAGTCAGTGCTCTTAACTGCTGAGCGATCTCACCGGCCCTGGTGATCCGTATTTAAAAGACCCTTATTCCTCCACCAGAAAATTCTTAGATCTGATAGATACTTTCAGTAAAGTAGCAGGATACAAAAATCAACATAGCAAACTCAGTAGTTTTTCTATATATCAATAATTCACTTGCCAAGAAAGAAATCAGGGGGAAATCCCATTCACAAAGTTATGGGATTGACTAGGTTGTCTCTAGGGCTCCACTGGCCACTTCATCCTCACTTCTGTGTGCCCATTGCCATTAACAAATGCCCTTCCTATCCTATGCACAGACTGAAACGTCCTGTCAGCTAACCCTAAATCTCAGTTTCCACTCTAACTTTCAATCCAGATTATGAATAGAATTGTCTTCCTTTGCACAGAAGAGATGGGTCCTGCCTGTTTTCAGAACACATATCTTGGGTTCAGATCTCCAGAGAGGAAGTGGGTTTGAATCCGAGGTTGCCAAAGCAACAGAATGCTTCTTAACCAGACTGAAAGGATCCCAAGTCATTGTCCTAAAGAATAACCCTCCCTAAAGTATAAATAAAATAGATTCGTGGCTTCCTGGAATGGTTTGGATAATAGTTCCTCCATGAGGCAGAAATGGATTGAAATTCAGTACATTCCTATATGGCTATCTGCTCCCCAAATGCTCAAAATACCTTCATGTCAGTCTTATCATGGCAAGTGTGAAAGCTATAATCTACAATCACATTCCTTTCTCTTTTTCTTTCTTTCTTTCCAGGATTTCACTACAAATAAGTTGGAATGAAGATGCATTTCCTCCCTCCAGTCAGCTGTCTCCTGTTTGCAACTGATACTATGCACAGCAGTATAGCATCTGTGTTTCAGGAAAACGATGTGTGAAAACAATTTTCCAAAATGCACACTGTCTAGATAAAAAGAAAACTAAAAATATGTTTGGTTACCACTTTGTAGAGCCTATTGAATTTGACTGTGAATGGGAATGTAATTGTCATCTGTTTCTAGTAGAACCTTCCATGAACATTACATTTCCATCATAAAGGCAAGTCCACAATGGTATAATAGAATTCATATGGAAATCATTAAAAGAAATAATGACCAGTAGGTTGTTTAAATAATTTACATTTTTTCTTTTAAACTTTATTTATTATTGTTTGTGTGTGTGTGTGTGTGTGTGTGTGTGTGTGTGTGTGTGTGTGATGTCTGAGTGTGGGCACACATACTGTAGAGTGCATGTGGAGGTCAGTGAACATTTGTGGAGTCCATTCTCTCCTTCTACCTTTATGTGATTTATGGGGATTGAACTCAGGTCACCAGGTTTTTATACCAAGTCCCTTCATTCTCTGAGCCATCTCACCAGCCTCACATTTCTTCTTGATAGACCATTAGAATAAATAAGCAAAGCCAAAGACACACAAAATGGCATGCATTGTCAGCAAAGGGAAAGGAATGCTTTATTGAAGTGTTACAAATAGCTCTCTAGTGTGAATGCTAACAGCTGATTATTTTCCAGTTCTTCATTTATAACCAAAGAAAGTCTTCTTCATCACCTGTGCTTGTTACCATGGGATTAGCATAAAAACATTATCACTTACAAAGCTAAATTTCAGGGTTGAGGGATGCACATTGTTTAGTGAGCCCAGATTAAGCTGCGCTTGTTGACAAAAATGTATTCCTCAGTCAACAGTGAGAACAAGTGTGGCATTTTTGTAAACTCAATAACATTCATGGTCGGCACCCCTCCTACTTCTCTGTGATTTGAGTAAACAGTTTCCATTTGAAGGGTTGGTCAGACTTTTTAATTATGTTTAGTTTAGTTTGGATAAGCATATGACAATGGGAAGGGTCTCTTTTGATTGTTCAGATAAGGAATTTTGCAGCTAATAAGGTAAAAGCACACAAAGATGAAAGATTAGTAGTCCTCAAAGCACAGCTCCAATCAATATCTCCCCTAATCAAGTCTCATGCCTTTGACCCTCTACATAATGAAGCCAGTATTCTATCCTTGGACGTCACAGGTCTTCATTTACTAACCTTGGCCTATTTGCTGATATTTTCTCCTGTTTTTCTTTGTTACTGTGTGTATAATACAGTAGTTTAGGTGCTTGTGAATCCTGAATGCATCACAATCACTTGGCAAGCTTTTGAAAAGAAAAATATGCCCAGGGACAACCATATGTTAATTGAATACGAATCTAGGAGTAAAACACAGACCTCAATTTGTTGTTATTTCAATTTTTCCAGGGTTTTAACTTTTATTTGGATTATCTGCTGCTGTAAAGCAAATCCCGAAACTTGTGTGTGTATATTAGTGAATATTTTATTAAGCTTCCAAGTTTTGTAAGGCAAAACTCTGATAGGGTACAGCACTTACAATCTTAGGGTTCATCTGGGCACCTGTGATGTCTGGAGTCTTGAGCTAGGGATGTGTCAATGAGCTGGGCTGGAATGCTGAAGTCTTCTTTACTGACATATCTGATATTAATAGACTGGGGTGTTGTAAAGGCGGATCTGTCCCAGTCGGACCTGTCGGCTAGCTGTCTATTTACACATTCCTCTCCATATAGCTTGGGCTTCCTTCTAGTATGGTGGCTCAAGGTCTTCAATCTTTCTCTGTAGATGTTCTTGATTCTAAGAGTAAATAAATATCCACTGGAGAAAGGTGGAACTGTAAGGCCTTTTATGTACCCAGGCTTGGAAAGCACAATCTCTAAGGTTCAGGTGTGCAGAGATTTCCAAAGGAAGAATGACAGTGAATCTGCGGCCACATTTTTAAAGTTGACACCCACACTGGGTGACCCCAATATGCAGCTAGGGCTGAGGCTGAGGCTGAGACTCCTTTCTTGCAAGCACTGAATGTAGAACAGGGCTAGAGGCTGGGTGAGGTGGGGACGCTTCGAATGCAAAACGCTGGAAGGTAGTCACTGCCAGGGTCATTGCAGTAGGGCATAACTGTCCCTTACATTTTGTGTCTAAGGTGCTTGGCCTGCCTCACCTTCGACCTGATAGTGGCATCATAGCGAAGCATCAGGACTCTTTGAAGTAAGAACCACCATTGTGACCATTTTACCAGTGAACGAAACTAAAGTTTAAAGATTTGGCAATTTGCTAGATGACAAGATGACAAAGAAACTAAGGCAGGCCCAATGCCTTAATGCCTAAACTGAACTAGCTCCTCGTTCCTTAGTAGAATCCAGGAGCCATAGGCCTTTGCGGGGAGTCAGGCAGACAGTTCAGTCGCTCTTCCATGAAGAGTGGAGTAGGTTAAACTTGGATTCCTCCTTTCTACTCATAGATTCCCTGGGGGCGGGCGGGGGGGGAGTCCTCGGGGTGCAGATGAACTTGACTGTCCCTTGGCTGCTCAAGACAAAGCCTTTTCAGGTGTATCTACAGCCTGTGGTGTAGAGCATCCTGCTGTGGATAGGGACCCCAGGGTTTTCTCTGGCATGTGGTTAAGGACGTGCCGGGGCAGAGCTTGCTCCTGGGTGAGGGGACTTGAGCGTTGCTAAGTGCTGGGAAGAGTCCCATCCTCACCATTCTCACCATCCTCACCATCCTCACCATCCTCACCGCGGCGCCGTCAGCCGTGGGAAGGGGACGGCGAGAGCGAGCTTGCTGGAGCCAGGAGGCGGGAGAGGGAGGAGAGTCGGCGCACAAGCGGAGGGAGGCGCGCGAGCGAACACCCACTCGCATCCCGAGCCCAGCGGCGCCGAGAGCCAGCAGCTGCAGCCGAGCCTGGTCGAAGCCGCTGCACCGGTCCAGACGGTCCCGCCCGCGGGTGGCAGGGCTCCTGAGAATGGAGGATTCCAGGGAGACTTCGCCATCCTCCAACAACTCCTCGGAGGAGCTCAGCTCTGCCCTGCAGCTGTCCAAGGGCATGTCTATCTTCCTCGACGTAAGTACGAAGGAGTTAGGTGGGCGCCCAGTTTGAGAGAGCGGGGTGGGGGGCCCAACTGCAGGCGGGCGGTGTTCTGCTCTCAGAGCTCATCGTAACTATCTCCTATATGCTAGTGAGCAGACAACCCCAGGCAAAGGCAAGAGAAAGGACTGTCATTCAACTTGCAAGAAAGGGCTGTCCCAGACCCGCACCTTGGTCTTTAACAACCCTAAGGGAAATCCCAAAAGTTAGACTTCCCAGCAGCCTGGTTTCTGCCCCAGGCTGCATTGAAAATATAAATCTCCATCAGGCTGTATAGGGAGAGATTCCCGACTCATCCCTGTCTGTCCTATTTGCTGATAGGCGCCTCTGTGCTCAAAGGCACCCATGGGAAGCCTTAGAAATTGCTATGTCCTGACTGGCCTCACCCAGCTCTCTCAGAAAACAGTTTCTTGGAACACATTTGTTTTTCATTTTACAGCAGTGGCCAAGATCTCTTTTATGATGATTCTTTTAAATTTTTTTCCTTTTGTTTCCTTTTTTGCTTTTCTTCCCCACCATCCCTTTATTCTCTTTCCCTGTACCTCTCTAAATTGTGATCACTATCATTACCACCAATCGGGCTTTGTGACTGCTTTCCCCCTGGTTTGGTTACTTGCTTGGAAATTGACTTCCTTCCTCCCTGTCTCTAGTTTGACTATTCTTTCCTTTCTGTGCTATTTTTCTATCCTCATGCTGTGACTTCAATCTTCATGGCAGTTTTAGATCTTACTGGATTCTGTCTGATTCATGGTCCTGACGTTAGAGTTCTCTGTATTTCCCACCTTGCTGCTCTGATAGGTTTCCTGGTTTTCTTGGCCCTGGGTTTCCTGCCTGCTGGCCTCTAGCTCTTCCAGCTGTTCAGGTGTCACATTCATACTGTCCCCCAGGTAGCGTCTGGCTCAGTGTGGACAGTTCTAGCCCCTGTTTGGCACAATGGAAAGTGGGCAAAGCACACCAAGGAGTGCTGTTGGCATCTGCCCTTCCAGGTCAAGCTATCATTTCTTATTAAAATCCAAGCAAGTGGGAGATGGGCCAGAGGCCAAATATACTTTGTGAAAAGATGAAAATATGAGGAAATCAAATTGTTAGTTTCTTAATGACCATGAACAGGCAGAGATAATGAAGATAATGGCAGGAGAGGCAGAGTCCTTCACTTTATCTTCAATAGATTAGTTAGAATGTTTTTAATTGAAAGAGAAATGCATCAATAATCAAATCTTGTTTAAGACACTTGATGGAAGGTCTGGTCTTCTCCCTTCATCATCATGCAGTTCCTACAGAAGATCCAGGCTTTGGGGGACAGCCATTTTCTTCCCACCAAAACACAAGTATCTGATTTCCACTCATTCATGCCATCAGATTGTTCTATACTTTATTTTTCTTGAAAAATGATCTGTGCATCGGTTGAGAAATCAGATTGTATTATTGGTGCTGTTGCTTTAATTAGCTGGGATTATTGCTTTGTATTCTGCCATTCAGGACATAGCCCTTGAGGAACAGAACTGTAGGGAAGCAAAGACAAGCCAGCACACATGGGAAAGCAGTTCTTAAATCAGGGACCCACATACCATGGCCATTATGAGACTGCAAAGTAAGCTGCCAAGAAAGTAATTCTGAGGTTCCAGTCATCTGACCTGATGTGTACTCTGCGCCCCAAGGACACTGAATGGTGCCTTGGGACTTTTCTCTTAAGCAGTTAATCCTGGTGATGATACAGTGAAGAATGAATTGAAACTGTAAAATGGAAAGTCAGTCACCCTGATGGACACACAAACTCAAGTGTTTATCAACTGCAATATTTTTAAAGCAAAAACTAAAATCTCATTTATTACATATGCAGAGTTGTTCCCAAGTTATGTAAACAAACAGTATAAGATCCCTGTCCTGACAGAATGTGTCATCTATGAACAGGACTCCCTTGTCTTTATAAATCTGTTTCTAGAATTTAAAAATAAAAAAACAAATTCGATTCCACAGGAGAGGTGTTGACTACGTGAAATATAGTCTCCAAAAATTAACTGCAGTTGGATTTTGTCTCTGGTAGAAAAGATGTTGTTTACACATTTCTGAGTTATTTTGTGAAAAATCTAACACTCTGGTGAATTCTGTGACATGAAAAAGGATTGGTTATTTAGGGATCTCTGAATTATTCATTTCTGGATCATGTTGCTTTTAGCAAAAACGATATGTGAAATATAAATACATCATTTGACTTGGTTAGATTTAGTATATTCTAGTAGCACTGCTAAGAATGTTTGATTTCTGAATTCTCTTCATATCACAATAAATAGATAATAGATATTACCTATTCTAGGCAGGAGCATATTTACAATCATTAGGGACTTTTGCATCTCAAGGACTAATTTACAAATTTGAAGAAAACTGATTTCGAGTGCTTATAGTCTAGTATCACTGGCATAATCAATCATAAGAAATTATTTAGTGTCATTTGAGTATACTGTTGATTATGTGACAAGATTTGTCCAACTGGTCAGAGATGAGAGATAGATGTTTGATAGGAAAATGAAAATTTGAGTACAATTGTTTTCTTCTACTTCATTCTTTAATCTTCAAACCACTGATAACTGTGAGCTTGATACTACTTTCAAGGTTATTGTGATTATGAGATCACAGTTTGGAAAACTGAGAAGGAAAAAAGAAAATGTTCTATGCAAATTCAAAGCATTATGGTTCTGTCAGTGTTCTATGTTGAATATATAAATACCTGTAGCTAAATTCACAAACTAACATGGGAACTATACACATCTACTTTATATGATTTTCTTCTCTCAAAGTGGCAGAATTGGGTATCAATTCTAACTGCTTCGAATACCTTCTGGGAATGGGGCTTAGAAGCATCCCAAGTGCTGGTACTCGTGCATGTTAGCACACCAGGACTGTTGGGTGTATTTGCACAGTGCATACCTGCCAGCCACAAGACAGGGCCAGAATTGGCTCCAGCAGGCAACACAGAAGGACCAGAAGGCTGGCAATTGTTTTTTTTTTTTTTTTTTTTTTTTTTTTTTAAAAAAAAAAAAAAAAAAAAAAAAAGAGGACGATAAATCTTTCACTGTGATATATCAAAATAA